GAGAGCAGAGGAAAAGACCAAAAAAAAAAATGTGTTACAAAGTGTCATCATGCTTGTAGGACCCCAACATTCTTGAAACTAACACACCTTTAAAAAGTAATATTTACAATGCCGTAAATATTTGCAAAGTATCAATGTTTAATTCAACTAGAATTTTAAGGATTATGGATTTACTAGCGAAAATTCCCCTAAAGCAACTTTCCCATATCAGTAATTTTTATTTAGAGAAACAATTTTAATGTACATAATACATGTGACCTTGGAATTCAATACAATTTTCGAAACTAGAAGTGACTCAGAACGTTCACTGGATGTGTTTTAAAGTCTTTTTTGATACTGTCCTTAACATTTGCTTATTTGAAATTAATATGAAAGAATGAAGCTAAAAGTTAGTTTTAAAAACGGTTATTCGACAAAGTTAGTTTTAAGAACCGTTATTTGACAAAGACGTTATTCCTATTACCAATACTGCGAAATGATAATTACAGAAACAATGTGGGATCCGTTTTATAACTTCAAATTTAAGTTCATTTGTACTTTGGAGCAGAAAATGGAAGAAATCTAAATCAAGAGTTACTTTTTTATCTTTCAGGCTGGTTTTAATTGTTCATACACCTAACAAAATAAACATTTGTGAAAGGCGTTATTCTTTGGGTGTTTTAAAATTCATTAATACTATTAATGCACCTTACTATACAGAAGTCACAGAAGTTAGAAATGCTCTCAGTAAGTAGTAAGTATATACTTTAGTATCGATAAACTCTTCAAATAAGAGTTTACAGCTTTGATTATTTTTCTTTTCTATCTTTGGAGACAGTCTCACTCTGTGCCCCAGGCTGGAGTGCGATGGCGAGATCTCGTCTCACTGCAACCTCTGCCTCCTGAGTTCAAGTGATCCTCCTTCCTCAGCCTCCGGAGTAGCTGGGATTACAGGGGCACACCACCACGCTCAGCTAATTTTTGTATTTTTAATAGAAACGGGGTTTCGCCACGTTGGCCAGGGTGTTCTCAACCTCCTGATCTCAGGTGATCCGCCCGCCTCGGCCTCCCAAAGTGCTGAGATTACAGGCGTGAGCCACGGCGCCCGGCCAAGATTTGGGGTTTTAAACCTGTCTCCAACTAGTATACTGAGTGACAAGTTAGAATTCCCTGCCTAGAAAGTATTTATTAGGCCGGGTGCGCTGGCTCATGCCTGTAATCCCAACACTTTGGGAGGCCGAGGCGGGCAGATCATGAAGTTAGGAGGTCGAGACCATGCTGGCCAACGTGGTGAAACCCCGTCTCTACTAAAAGTACAAAAATTAGCTGGGCATGGCAGTGGGTGCCTGTAATCCCAGCCGCTCGGGAGGCTGAGGCAGGAGAATCGCTTGAACCCGGGAGGCGGAGGTTGCAGTTATCCGAGATGGCGCCACTGCACTCCCGCCTGGGAGACAGAGACTCCGGCTCAAAAAAAAAAAAAGGAAGTATTTTTATTGATCTATCAGGTGAAAAATTTAGAGCCCACAAAGGTAAACTCAAAAGGGGGACTGGGAGAATGGATAATTTTCAACCTATATTGAAGCATCACCCCACAACTCAAAATCCCAACTTAACAGTTAAGCTAAATAAAGACGAAATTCTTTCTGAATACTTCAGTATTTATATTTACTAGATCTTACTGTTCAATAAGTCATTCAAATCATGATCTAAAGTCGTTATTTTATTATTAAATACAAATATTTAAGTTGGATTTTTTCTTATACTAGCTTAAAATTTTATTCCATCAAAAGCTATCATACTCAGTTTTCTCACAATCATACTCAAATTTCAATACTGTCATAACTCATTTCCCTGAATTATATACATAGGGTTTATTTTAATGATTTGTGACATTTAATGAAATACGGTTGTTCATTGTTATTTCAGAACAATGTAAGTTTAGAAAATTATAATTAACATGTTCAAAAGTTTAGTTTTAATGTGTTTATAATAATCAAATGAATAGACTACCTAAACTACCTCATGAAATAACATTTAAAGTATTCTACGCCTTCACAACTAAAAGTTTACCTAATTTATGATCTACTTCTGCATTTTGGCATCATGATTTCTTCCCTGCTTTGCTAATTACTACTTCTTGGCTTTTGAGAATAAAAAGCTCATTGCTGTATTCAGAAAGTAGTTAAAGAATCCTGTCATAACATAGGACTTGGTGTAAAAAATTTTTTTGGAAATATTGTCAAGGAAACTGAAAGCTAAAGTGGCACAAAAAAAGAGAAAGCAATGATATTAAAATTATTTAATTTTTAACAGTTTAATGAAACATTTGTCAAGCTCCTTTTGTGTGCCAAGACACTGTACTAGCTCATGTAAGGGATACAATGTAAATAAATGTATCCTGGCTTCAAAAAATGTATAATCTTATAGGAAAGAGACAATGCAAATACAACCAATACAAGAATTATGTGAATCCTGATGATCATGAATAATATAATGCAAAAAGAGAAGTAGAAAAGATTAGAATAAAATGTAGAAGGAAGACCCTAGGATCAGTCCTAAATGAAGTCATCCACAGGGCATGATTTGAAGGGCAACAGAGAACTCATGCTCCAACATATCCTCACCAGTCTCAAGAGACAACCCCATCAATCTCCATTAGTCATCCTTCAGCATGAAGACATGTAAAATGTGAATATTCTAGTTAGGCAGGACATATATTAATATAATACTATCAAGACATAGTTTGATTAAAATATCAATTTGGAGACACATACTGCCTTAGAAGTAAAGACAAAATAAGACTATGGGCCAGGCCAAGTGGCTCACACCTGTAATGCCAGCACTTTGGGAGGCTGAGGCAGGTGGATCACTTGAGGTCAGGAGTTCAAGACAAGCCTGACCAACATGGTGAAACCTCGTCTCTACTAAAAATACAAAATTAGCTGGGCGTGGTGGCACACACCTGTAATCCCAGCTACTTGGGAGGCTGAAGTAGGAGAATCACTTGAACCCGGGAGGCAGAAGTTGCAGTGAGCCAACATCACGCCATTGCACTCCAGCCTGAGCAACAAGAGCAAAACTCCATTAAAAAAGAAGAAAAAAAAGACTGGAATTTAAGTTTTATTTTTTATTTTTGAGACAGACTCTTGCTCTATCACCCAGACTGGGGTGCAGTGGCACAATCTCAGCTCACACAACCTCCACCTACTGCGTTCAAGTGATTCTCCTGACTCAGCCTCCTGAGTAGCTGGGATTACAGGCGCCTCCCACCACACCCAGCTAATTTTTGTATTTTCAGTAGAGACGGGGTTTCCCCATGTTGGCCAGGCTGCTCTCGAACTCCTGATCTCAGGTGATCCACTCGCCTTGGCCTCCCAAAGTGCTGGGATTACAGGCATGAGCCACCGCATCTGGCCCGTAATATAAGTTTTTAAAGTTGGAGCTAGAACAATTTTCCTGCAGCTTCTATTAATATTGACTGATTAACATAAGAAAGCCTTTATACTTAGGTGGTTTAGTGAGACAGTAATCACTTACACCTGAAATAAACCTTTGGGAACTCTGTTAATTCTTCCATTTTGCACCTGAGGAAATTGACGCTGAGGAACTAGAATCCAGGCCTCCTGAGTCTCCTTGTCCAGTCAGTCTCTTTAGACCACACTGCTCTTTCTTTGGATTCGATAATAGCTAATTTTCTTATATACCCTACTCCCACCCCATTAATGAGCTAAAATACCATTATACATCCTTCTTAAAGTGCTCATATAGGGATAAGCTATATTACTGATGATTAGAAATAATTATTTTTGTTGCAGCTGTGTCTTTAACATTAAAAAATAAAAAGTAAAGAAATAATTATTTTTGTGAATCATCCAGGAAAGCAATGGGGTAATAAAAATCATAGGCTGGGTGCGGCTACTCACGC